AAAAATAGAATCACAGCGATCAACGGATCTCAAAACGAAGTTGTTTTCAGTCACCTAGATGAATATAAGTATAGAAATTGGTTCAATTTAAAAACTGAAACCCCTCTACAAAATTAGGAGATTTTTTTATCTCATATTAGAGAAAAATATCCTGTTTAATGTTTTTTATGCTTTTTATGTAAATATACGTAAAATTTTATGCAAAAATCGTCATTTTTTCCTGATTGGTCGGCTCAAGGTCACTCGTGCGTTCGCATCTCTTGGGACTCTATTGTAGAACTTTGCCTAAGTATCAAGACTCCTATGAGAAATTGGGAGGTTCTTTTTTGGAACATATACGAGAACGTTATCCTTTGTAACTATTTTTTAACATTGCATTACTTTTATATAAACGATTTATTAAAATTATGCGCCGTTTTTCTAGAGCCTTCTGATTGGTCAAAGTTGTCCTTGTCAAGGTCATTTGTCCGTTCGCTGGCTAGTTTCGATTTGGGCTGCTATAGTTTAGAGTTACCGGATTACCTTTACGATTCAGCCAGTTCTGGTAACCAGCTTTGTGGTAAGTTGATAACTTCAAAACTTACAACAGCATACTCACCTCATTCTATGCTCCACAATAAAATGTACCATTAAACAACAGGGAAAATTAAAGGAGACAAATTCAGCCAGCGAAGAAAATACTTCTTTATCGACGAAATCATCTTCACAGGCTGGCTTGGCTGTACAGTCGTATTAACGCTTACCAAAAATATATATACAGTGGTCTATTATTGAGTAATAGGCGGGTGTGCGTGTGCGTGACATAATTGATATAATTACTCACTCGGAAGTGGCTTTAGCAGCAAAAGAAATTAAAAGTTGTAAATTACGTGGTACTCAACGGAACAAACATAGAAATTTGATAAGGAAGGTTAAAATTGCTATTGAGTGAGTGAGAATAAAGGTGGTAGTTGAGTATCAATTTAACAAGTGTGTCAATAGGGTGTGAAAATGTACAACAGGGAACATATGAGAGTAATAATAGTGTGAATTAATTATTAAAGCAAAAGCAAACTAAAAGTAAAATTAAAAATTGAAAAGAAACGATAAAAATTATTTTACAGGAAACGACTAGTGAAGAGGTTAAGACCAAGGTAGAATAATAGACTGGACAATTTTGTTGTGCATATACAGAGTTCGGGGATGTATTGACGAATCACCAGCGCCTCCGCCATACACAAAAGCCGAAACCTGACACTTTTTGTAGCATTTGGCCTCACCTTGTAGATGATCTTGAAAGACGACTGTGGTGGTGTTACATGGCCTGAATTCACCAAGTGCTCGAGAATTGAGCTAGTAATTGTCTCGCATTGTCCTTTTGCTAACCATGCCGAATAATGTTCAGAGATGCGTTTGGAAAGTGTTCGCCAAGTTGTTCGGCCAATATAACTAGCTCCACACGAGCAGGTGAATTTATAAACACACATTGAAGTGGCCTGTCCAAAGCGTCAGTTTATCCTTCACACATCCATTGATCATTTGTCGACTGTAGAAATTGATACGTATCTCAGCCATAAAGAAGGCTTTCCTCAGTGATGTGCATAAGCAGCGATTCTTCAGGATCTCAGCTGCGGTATCACCTTTAAATTCAACGCTCATAAATAGCAGTTTCTTCAGCACCGTGTTGGTTCTTTCAGGCTTTTCCCTCGATAAATCTTGGAGGATATCCATTCTCTATGAGGAGGACTTGCCTGAGTCGGCCTAGTTCCCATCGATTGTATCACTAGAACATATTCTTCTTATTCTTGAGGATAAGGAGTGGATCAGGTTTCTCTTTCTTCTCAAAGGGAACCAACTATTGAAATTTGTGTACTGAGCATTCCATGTTGGTTTCTTGTAAATCAATCTCTGAAGAGAACCATCAGATCTCCTGTTTAGGAAAACATCCAAAAAATGGAATTCCGAGTTCATCTCTGATTCCTACGTCAATTGGATGGCATGATGCTAGCTGTGGAACTCTTTAGTTATCAATTCGATATTCATCGGTATTGCCATCACATATGATGAAAGTATCATCCATGTATCTTTGGTACAAATGGAAACTATCGATAGTAGGCCGTAAAATATTATTCGCCAAACTAGCCAAGAAGCAGTCTGCAAATAAAGGACCCAAAAGGGGGAACCGATCGCCACTCCATCTCTTTGTCTATAAAGCGTGTTGTTGAACTTGAACTGGACATTTAAAGTGCACCTCCTCGATAGTAGTTCCTTTAAGTAGTGTGGATCAGAACACACACGAGTCTGCATTATTGTCCTCAATGAATTTTCATATAAAGCAAATAGTTTCAGTGAGGGGAATATTGGTGAAGAGGGAAGTAACATCCATGGATATCATTTTCTTCTCGGGAAGGCGAGAAACACATTCATCAACCTGAAACCAATCTGGAAATCTTCCGCTGTCACTCAGCAACACTCAACAACAAAAAATTCGGATTTTCAATACAAATGTCAAGTCAGTCAGTTCTTCTATACGTGCGGATGAGAAACTTGTCGGTGGGTCACAAAGAATATTTCCAACAGCCTGTTGCAGACCCTTATGAACAACAGCTATCTTAGCTCTATACTGAAGATCAGATGGCCGGAAAGAACAAGAACCAACAAGAAACTATGGGAACAAGCGAACAAAACAGGAACCAATCGTCCAAGAAATATGCAGGAGAAAGTGGAGATGGATTGAACACTCACTGAGGAGGCCGTTGGGTGACATCACGTGTCAGGCAATCGCTCGAGTGGAACCCGAAAGGGAATCGGTGAGTGAGACATCCAAAGGTGACATGGAGGAGATCGTGTGAAGAGGAGTTGAAACAGCATGCACTAACATGGATGCAAGTGAAAAGTACAGCAGAAGAGAGAAGCAAGTGGAGGCGTGCAGTTGAAGCCCTGTGTTCCACTAGGAACCCAAGAGAACAACAATATATAATAATAACTGAATCGACGAATTCAAATGAATCTGAAACACTATGCTTGCAGAGGTTATTTCTGATAGGTAGGAGGATGTCTGCGAGCTATTTGGCAGTAGCATGATATGGGAAATTTGTTATATCCAAAATTGGAAGTAACCTTTTTACTACTCGTTCCCTGTAAAAAAATCTTGGTATTTTTCTTTTCTTTTTTTAATTTTCAATTTTACTTTTAGTTTGCTTTTGCTTTAATAATTAATTCACTATTAATTACATCACTCTCATATGTTCCCTGTTGTACATTTCACACCCTCTCGACACACTTGTAAAGTTGACACTCAACTACCACCTTTATTCTCTCTCACTCAACAGCAATTTTAACCTTCCTTATCAAATTTCTACCTTTTTGGGCGTTGAGTACCACGTAATTTACAACTTTTAATTTCTTTTACTTCTAAATAATAATAATTTGCTTTATTCTTAAACAGTACTTGTGATACAGAATGGAATTCTCAGCATTTTTACTACAGTATTGCATCCAGTTAGTACATTATCAATAAATAGAATTCTACATAAAATAAAGAAATCTCAGTTCATTATGACAACAGCTTATTGGCATGTCGGTAGCAAAGCCAAAGTTGAACAGTGTTAGAAAAGTAGGAGCTGTCATATTTACTGACGTGAGTGGAAGAAAGAAACAAAGCATCACATAACGGACAAAAAGAGAGAGAGAGAAAAAAGGAAAAGAAAGAAAGAAAATGTTGTACCTATAGATGATATGAGTTTGGAAAGACGATGTCCAGTTGCTCTACTGACTATTTAATGAATTATAGGTGTCACTTCTAATGCTTTCTTTATCACACAGAACACGAGCTAAGAAGAGTATGGTTGAGTTTTTGTACTTGCTATTGCGAGCATGTAGTTTTCTATATAGGCTTCTGGTTTTGCCTGATGAGATGCAAAGGGGAGAGTTGTGAGTGAAGAGGGTGGTGTGAGTTAGATAAAATGGATTTAGCCTTCATTTTTCACATGAGTCCAAGTGTCTGTCGTGTCGACCAGAATATTCACGTGCTGGTTAAGTGGCAACTTGCTTACCCTGCTGACACCCTTTAACATCCTACGTAATAAGATATAGTCCTTCTTCAGTAGCCCTGCGAAAACTAAGAGGGAACATTAGAGTATAATAGGCAGGATGGAAGAGTTAACAGATCGTGGGAGTAAGGGTTGGGTTGGATTGGGTTATTCCAGAATATCTTAACTTCTTGATGTAGAAGGTAAGACGGATATGAGACGACCAGAAGAGATCAGCAGATAGAATGACGCCAAGATATTTAATTTCCTACTTGGTATCTATTTCAGTGCCATCTATGTCGCACACGACGTGAGTGCTAACCAGTTTGTTTAGGTGAAATTGACTGTTTGACATTTAGAGGGATTTAAGGTAAGACCGTTTTCCTTGGACCACTGGCTGATTTCTGACAGAAAGCCATTAAGTTTAGAACAGTCGCTTTGACATTTGACAGGCAAAGATACAGTCAGGTCGTCAGCATATTTGACAAAATTGATGTCATTTGAAGATGGTAAGTCATGTAGAAAGAAAGAAAAGAGAAGTGGGGAGAGTACAGTACCTTGGGCGACAACAGCTTCAGTGAGCGCAGCAGAGGAGGATTTACCTTTGTATACGGTGTACTGCTTTCTGTTAGAGAAGTAGGAATGCAGCCAGTTAGTAACCCAGGACTCAATTTTTGTCACTTCTGAAGCTACTTCCGAGTGAGTAATTATATCAATTATGTCACACACACACACACACTCACCCGCCTATTACTCAATAATAGACCACTATATATATACATTTCTGGTAAGTATAAATCCGACTGTACAGCCATGCCAGTCTGTGAAGATGATTTCGTCGATAAAGAAGCATTGTCTTCGCTGGTTGAATTTGTCTTTTTTATTTTTTCTTCATGACTCAATCAATGGGTATTTTTTGGGTGAAGTGAAAATTAAGTTTAATATTAATATTATTAAATATAGTGATATAAATGAAGATTGTTCACTTACTTCAGTTGATCGTATGTCGTCGAAGCTGATTTTCTTGCACTTTTAAAGCATAAAAGAAAAGAAAAATAAAGAAAGGAGTTTTTATGTGAGGAAGAAAGGCAATTGTTTAACTTTTAATTCTTGGACACATTCAAGTGTTGCTTTGTATGGGGATTTCACTGATTGTTTACAGGATTTTCATCATGAGCTGACATTAGTTAGAGAACCATTGGAAAACCTACTACTGGGGGTGCTGGACAGCTGTTTCCTCCGTCCTAGTTTGGGACTCTTCATCAGTACTCACCCACCCCACTGAGGTTCGAACCCATGACCTTCTGGTTTACAAGGCGAGCTCGTATACCACTAAGCCACTGGGACCCTATCCAATGGCCCATGAATTCTAACTTCTGCCAATTCACGACATAGTGTGACCGGTAGCCAATGTCTTCGGCGAGTATTTGTCCTCACACCCAACCTGCTGCACCCTACTGGTCACGACTTCTCACTAGAACCCCAGGTAACTACCTACCTGAATAGGGCAAGTCGCTAGTGAGCATCTCGGACACATTATTTCTGATGCACACTAGATTACAGTTCATCACACTGACAGCATTGTAGACATAATGAGAAAGCTAACAGAGTGAATAACATTCATTATGGATAAGATTTTATTTTGATAAACTGTCACTCACAGTGTGTGTAGTGTTATACAGTAAGTAATATTAACTGATGCGACCACACACTTCGAGCACAATTTATTATTGCCACTCATAATCATCATATCAAGTCACTCACTCACTCACACACTCACACAACTTTCGTCTTCCTTCATTTATATACATGAGTGGAATTCATGATTAGACATTTGAATACAAATCAGTAATATAGGATAATGTACATTCAGAAATAATAATAATATGAGTGTTATTGATCAATTACAATCAGATGGGAAATAAGACGAGTGTTTCTTCTATAGTCATAATAAGTGAGTAACTTGTTAGAATGTTGTGATTATTTATTATCCTCCTCTGATTTGACTGTTGGTAATCATATCTCCCATATTTCTCGTATTTGCATTGAGTGATTGCTATTGCCTGTGTTGGATGTAGACTCCTCTATGAACCAGCCAGGATTCAGTAATTAACCTCTCTCTATCTCCACCTACCTAGATTCCTTCTTAGTATTTCAACCCTCTCCCACCCACCATGCTATTGTCTGGTTGTGTTTTAATGTATGCAGTGCAATGTAGTGCTAAGTGTTTTTTTTAAATTACTCATCTTCTCGAGGGGGGGCAACTATTCTTACCTTAGCTAAATTCTTATGTTCCGACAATCTGACTACCCCGATCTACTGGTTTAACCTTTGTAGTTGACCTAACTCACAGTCATTGCAAGGTATTTTGTAAATTATATTATGTTGTCTAATTTGGTCAAAAGGGTCCCTTAATCTAGAGAGCTTGTCCAATCTGAGTGAGTTTGTAGGTTTAAATGCCACCACCAGCCTAATTCCTGCTTTATTCAGAATCCTACGTAGGCAGTGAGTGTCTCAGATGTCCCCTCTGTCCTTATATGGTATAACTGCTGTAGATGCCTTATATTCCCTCTTATTTGTGTTAGTTAGCATTATTAGTCTCACCATTATTTTTATTTCACTTTTCACCTTTTCTCATCTTCCAAATGAATGTTATAGGATGGTTAGTTATTTGACACCAACCAGCTCTTCTTCTTTTGTCTGTTTTATTTCATCATTTACGTGGTCTATTTTTGTACTGCTTAGTGCCACTGTTCGGTTTGTTAGACACTTAACTAACCGTGCCTTAACAGTTAACTAATGAGATGAGATGAATTAAAGTCTAAATATCTATGAGGAGAATGCGTTGGTTTGTTTATGAACGCTGATGTGCACTATACCTTCTTCTATTCGATTTATTTTACAATTTAACATCACAGCTAATTCTCTTTGTTCATTTTCTAATTCAAATATGAATTTTATTCCTTTTACTTGTGAGTTTATATGTGTGTGTCAAGAAGCTAGAGAGAGATCTGTTCTGTTTTTAACACTGTGTGTGAAGGTGTCAGTCATCCACACATCTCCACCATATTTTTGGAGTAGGATTAGGTGAGTATAAGAAGAGCAATATATTCCCAGCTGTCCATAAATATATCTGCTACGCTAGGGGATATTGTTGATCCATCTCATTGCTACACCTCCTGTTACATTCACTAGGAGTACAGCTTGTGTAACAGATGTCAGGTTCCATGACCAGCGGACGCACGCACATAAATCTCAACTAGCCCTTAATAGGCCAGGAAAAGAGGGAATGTTGGCAGTAAGGTTAGCAACACTCCACCCCATTAACCAATACCACCGCTACTGAATTTTTAAAGCTTAAAGGCTGAAGTCCTATGTTCCACTCAAAGCACAAAGGAAGGAATACACCTTAGACCAGAAAAACACATTACAGTGCATTTCTCTATAAATCAAATGTCTTCTAACACTAGTACACTTGGTTATCTCAGCACTATGATGAATAACTGACCTGATCTGGAACATAGGGTGCCTTCAAGCTGCAGCTTTGAAGTTTCGGCAGCAGTGTTGTTGTTTACTTTAACAGGATGCGGTTGCTATCCTCATGTCCAACTTTCCCTCTTTACCGGTCGGTCCTATTACCGGCTTAACCAGGTAAATGTGTGCATAGGCCGGGTATCGAAAGCCGGAACAGATGCGTCGTTGGCGAGCATCTACTCCCAGGCTACCACTGCTGTCCAGTGTTGATTACTATTATTATTTCCTTTAATTCCTAGAGGAACATAGGGCTTCAGCCGTGCACGTCTCCATTGCGTTCGGTTCTCTGATAAAGTTTTCACCTGACTCCACGCGTCTGCCCGCATGCTTTCATCATCTCCTCTTCGCATGACCTCCTCCTCCAAGTCACCCTCACCCTCGCACTGACGACCAACTCGCCGCTTCCTATTCGGTCGGGTTCCACTCGAGCAATGGCTTGTCTAGTGATGTCACTCACTTGGTAGATTGTTTCCTCAGAGGATGGCCACAGTCAAATCCACCTCCATTTCTTCCTGCTTATTTGTTGCACAATCGGTTCATGCTGTGTTGGTTGGTTCACTCATTGCCAGAGATCCCTCCATGTTGCTGATCTTTTCTGGCCGGCCGGCCAACCATCTGATATTGAGTGGTATTGAGCGAAGACAACTAGCTGTTGATGAAGGTCTGTAGTTTGTTTGAGGTGCTCTTCATGACGCACTGGCCAAGTCTCTGATCCATCCTTATAGTGAGTAGCACTGACTGACTTCACATTGGAGTTGAAAATCCGGATCTCATTTTCATTGACATGCTAATTAGTGCTGAGTGCTGTTGACCTCCACACAGACTTGAGAGTAATGAAAGCTTGTATTGCTTTCTTGATCCTAGCTGCTTTGATATCCTCATCAGTTCTGTCCGCCTGTGGTTGAAACGATGCTTTCCAGGTAGGTAGCTAGGTAGGTGAAGGAGGTTGTTTCTTTCAGGTTCCTCCCATTTATGCTGGCTGATTGTTGTCTTTTGTTGTTGTTACTGTTGGTGTTGCCCAAGAATCTTCATCACCTACCTCTGTTTATTCTATGTTCACCTGAAGGAAGTCCTATCTTCGCTGGATGCTTCTTCTGCCAACTTGTTGCTATTCGCTTGCATATCTTCAAGTTTGTGGGAAATCAGAGATATATCATCAGCGAAGTCCAGATCCTCCAAGTTCTTTCTTCGTGTGGGTCCATTTTATGCCTGTTTCCTCGATGCCCGTCGCTGTTTGTCTGTTGCATTATCCAATCTACTGCAATCAGGAAAATCATTGGCGATAGTAGGCAGCCAGCCATCCAGCTTGTCTTACTCCCGTCTTCACTTCGAAGGATTCCGTAAGTTTCCCGTTGTGGATTACTTGGCATGCACCATTGTCGTACAACTGTTGAATGAAATGTATAATTGTCGGCGGAACCCCTTAATAGTAGCGAAGTAGTTTCCAATTCACCTCTCGATCGACGCTGTCAAAGGCCTTTTCAAAGTCGATGAAGTTGAGTGAGATAGAGAGGTGACTGCCATTCCAAGCAGGCTTTGTTCAATGATGATCCGTAAAGTGCCGATCTGATCAATAAATGACTTGTCTCTCTTAAATCCAACCTGTTCCGGTCGAAGGTTTTCATACAGGTTGGCATGTTTGACTCTCTCCAGGATGATGCGGCTTAATATTCTACTTGGAATGGACAGGAGCATAATTCCGCGCCATTTCTTGCATTGACTTAAGTCTCCTTTCTTTGGCAGTTTGAATAAGTACCCTTTCTTCCAATCCTCGAGTACCTTGCCCTCCACACCTTCCACACCTTCTCCAGTAGTGGTGTCAACAAGTCCGCTGTTGTCTCAGGGTCCATTTTCAATGCTTCTGCTGGGATTCCACTTGGTCCTGCTGCTATTCCAGCTTTTAGCATCTTGATTGCCTTCAGGACTTCTTTTCTCGTCGGGGGGTTGATGTTCACTGGTAGGTAGTTCTGCTTCCGTTGTTGGCATTATTGGGCGCGTTGTAGGTGGCGGTCGATTTAGAAGTCTTCTGAAGTGTTCAGCCCACCTCCACCTCTTTGGCGATTGACTTTCCATTGTCATCCTTCACTGGCTTAATTTGTGTCGAACTTATATGTCTATTACTCCTACTAACTCTGCAATCTTTTTTAATAATAATACTAATAATAATTTACTTTATTCCAAAAACAGACAGTACTTATAATACAGAATGGAATTCTCAGCATTTGTCACAACATTGCATCTGATTTACTCAAAATATATATAAAATTAAAACAAAATTAATCGGAGGAATTTGTCCACATTTACGAAATAATTATTAGATATAATAATAATAATGATAACAGTGAGTTTGTTTCGAACACTATTGTCGATTCAGTTTGGAATTTCAGCATGTTATAGAGGCATTGAATCTAATGTTCTGTTGATGTAACAGCACGGTGAGAGGAAAGACAAAATTAACAGTTATAACACAGATTAAATTATGTTCACATTTATGA